AGTCTGTCTTTGTCTGGAAGCTCATCTGAAACCTGTCCACGATTGTTGACCCTGCTGGTATTTAAAATACCGGTGGCAGAGCTTTCAGAATCACAGAAACTCACAAGCCACCACAATATGACAAACTGACAGACGATCATAATAATAATATATATAAATGCTATTAAATGATTAAAGAATTTCATTTGATCTAATTTCCATTTAGTACATGTAGATTTTAAATATTTAAAACAAAACAAAGCAAATGAAAGCAAACGTCGCCATGATAAAGAGTTACAAAACAAAATTCTCACATAGTATATATTAAAATGAAATGTGCAAAGACTTGGAGTTAGAAAATCAAAAGTTAAGAACACACTCAGCATTTCTCAAGCTGAGGGAACTGAACAATAAATTCAGTCCTCAACTTGAAATATTGAAGGGTTCTAGGGGCAAACTATTGAATGATGCAAAAAGCTTAAAAAGACGATGGAAAGAATATAGATAGTCACTGTACCAAAATGAAATGTTTTTTGTTCAACCATTTCAAGCAGTGGCACATGATCAAGAGCCAATGATAATGAAGGAGATGTCCAAGATGCATTGATGGCATTGGCAAAGAACAAGGCACCAGGAATACAAAATGAAATTTTACAACAAACTGATGCAACACTGGAGGCATTCACTCATCTATGTCAAGAAATTTGGAAGATAGCTACCTGAACAAATGATAGGAAGAGATCAATATTTTTTTCCCATTCCAACGAGACTTGACCCAACAGAATGGAGATATCATTGGACAATATTATTAATATCACATGCAGGTAAAATTTGGACAAAGATGATATCCAAACAATTGCAATCATACATTGACAGAGAACTTTCAAAGGTTCAAGCCGATTTCAGAAGAGGACATGGAATTCGGGCTGTTAATGCTAATGTCAGGTGGATCTTTGCTGAGATCAGAGAACATCAGAAATATGTTTATCTGTGCTTTATTGACTACACACAGACTTTCAATTGTGTGGATCATGACAAGCTATTGACAATATTGCAGAGAATGAGTATTCAGTAACAGTTAATTGTGGTCATGAGAAAACTGTACATAGACCAAGAGTTGGTTGGTCAAACAGACCAAGGGAACACAGATGTTTACAATTAGAAAAGATATATGGCAGTGTTGTATTCTTTCACCATACTTATTCAATCTGTATGCTTAGCAAATAATCAGAGTAGTTAAATTATATGAAGAAAAATGTGGCATCAGGATTGGAGGAAGACTGATTAACAACCTGTGATATGCAGATAATACAACCTTGTTTGCTGAAAATGAAGAGGACTTAAAATGCTGATGAAGATTAAAGACCACAATCTTCTGTATGACATGCACCTCAATGTAAAGAAAACAAAAATCCTCACCACTGGACCAATAAACTGCAACCATATAAATGGAGTAAAGATTGATGTCAAAACTTCATTTTGCTCGGCTCAACCATCAACACTCATGGAAGCAGCAGTGAGAAAAATCAAGTGATGTATTGCATTAGCCAAATCTGCTCCACAAGACCTTTAAAGTGTTCAATAACAAAAATATCAGTTTGAGGACAAGGGGAACCTGACCCAAGCTATGGTATTTTCAATAACCTCATATGCATGTAAAAGTTGGACAGTGAACAAAGACTACAGCAAAAACTGCAGAAGAATCGATACATTTGAATTATGGTGTTGGAGGAGAATATTAAAAGTACCATGGACTCCCCAAAGAACAAACCAATCTGTGTTTTAAGAAGTAGACCCAAAATGTTCCTTGGAAGCCAGAATGGACAGACTTCACCTCTCATCCTTCAGACATATTATCAGAAGGATCAAGTCCCTGGAGAAGGAAACCAGTTCCTAGATAACAGACATCATGCTTGGTACAATGGAGGGTCAGAGAAAAAGTGGAAGACCCACAATGAGACGGATTGGCACAGTGGCAGCAGCAATGGGCTCAAATGGATCAATGGTTGTGAGGTTAGCATGGGACCTGGCCATGTTTCATTCTGTTGTGCATAGGGTCACTATTAGTTGGAATCAACTCAATGGCACCTAACATTATATAATTCAATGGAATGCAGATACCATCAAACCATATCACTAATATCACATGCAAATAAAAGTTTGCTTAAAATAAGTGAAAAATTATTGGAACAGTGCTATAGGACATGTTTAGAAACTCAAGCTGGATTCAGAAGAGGATATGGAATAAGGAATATAATTGCTG